CGGGGCGCAAACGGCGTGCGGGAGTCGCAGGCGACGGAAGACGTTCTGCGGACAGAAAGGGTTGGGCATAAGCTGGTCGGCAGGACACTCTTGAGCCGAGCCTTTGATGTAATTACAGATGATCCAGAAGCATGCACAAAAATTCATGACACACTATTCCCATTTATGTATTTGCTACATATGATATGATATACCAGCTCATGATCAGTGACGCATTCTGGGCAATATGTTCTAAAGTGAAGTAACTGAAGTTACAATTGACAGCTTAAAAAACACACACACACGCACACACATTCGATAGCTTATGAGAATAAAATGCCTTGTCTGTTTAATGCAGGAAAATATTTTTCACTTTTTTAGAAACAGCAAAACCGTTGTCAACATGCCATGTCAACTATCTAAACAATTTTTATGGAAACTGCTCTAGCTAGCTTAAAGTTCCACAACGTTTCCGGAGCACTGTACCCAAACTCAGTTCATGTTGCAAAAAAAACAAACAGTAATAATGCCTCCTAATTTTGAATGAAATATAGGTATGAGTAATTTGATTTGGAAATTGGAAAGCAACAAATTTCCGCACATCATTTTAGCAAAATTACTATTTTCTTCAGCCACCAGGTTTTGCACAAAACTATAGTAAACTTTATGATCTAGTTTACACAAAACCAAAGCCCCGATTTTAACAAATGTTGAATAAATTTTAACAATTTTAAAAAATGTATCGTGGAAAAAATGAAAAGTGTAGATTTGTAAAGCCGGGATATTTCACGGATTAGGCACTTAAAGAAATATCTTCACCTTTCTTTGAGCCACCAGCCTTCACCAAGTTTTACACGAATGTAGTGAACCAGACAATGTGGCAACTCAACATTGTGATGGTTTGAGATAATTATAACGGTAAAAGAAAAAGCAACACAAGGTTCCTTACCCTCGCTTTTTTCACTAGTCCAGATGAGGCTTCAACTGTTGCCGACCTGAGGAGCTATAGGGACTTGAGCTTTCCAAAACTCAATTTCTAAGGGCACTGAGCAGTGTTTGGGTTTCACACGTATGCGATCGTAAGTTATATTAACCCTCGCACGACCAGGCCATTTCTCATAACACGAACGACCAGGGGGGGGTTGTTACGACCCCCCCTGGCGTTTCGAAACGGAAGGTCGTAGAGCTTAGCGGAAAAAACCAACGGATTGCTCTCAACGAGATCTCGCGATTGGTGGTATATTTTTTGGTCCTAGGTCAACATTTGACCTACTTTTGACCGGTCAAAGGTCAAATTTTCGGAAAAATAGACTTTTTTCAACTTTCGGCGGCGATTGCGGCAAAACGGTGGGAGATATCGACTTGAAACCTTCACTATCGTGTTCCTTGATCAATTCTCTATCGTTTGGTATGTATTTCGTTTCCCTAGCTCTAAAAATGGCGCGTTGGGAGCGCCGGAAGTCGGCAAGGTCACAGTCGGCGGCAGAAATTCGAAAAATCAAAATTTAAATTTTTGAAATCTGATTGTATTTTTGGATTTGGGAGGTCCATTTGCTCCCTATAGAAGCTAATATTGCTGCATATTCCCATTGAGGTGACAAGAATTAGCAAAAAAGTGGTTCGGGCGCTTTTCAAAAATAGTACCGGACGCTGTTCCTCTTGTGACGTCATAGCTCCGTGACCTGACCTGACCCGGTCAAATTTCTTATACCATATGATAGCCAATACTTGCCCCAACATGCATGGGAAGTTTCATCACGATCCATCAACCGATGTCGGCACCACCGGCAGGAAACCTCGGGCGTTGGCACTCAGTTTGTGAAAATCCGGCCGGAGGCTGTACCTCTTATGACGTCATAACTCCGTGACCTGACATGACCCGATCAATTTTTTTTCGGCAAAAGATGCGCAAAGGTTGCCCCAAAGGGTATTGAAAATTTCAGCCCGCTACGACAAGCCGTTTAGCGTGCACTTCGAAAAAACCTCAGGGGGGGGGGTTGATACAACCCCCCCCCCCTAGGCGTTCTAGAGTTAAGTTGACAAAGCAAGCAAAGCAAAGCATGATGCCCCGCGCGTCCACCCGCGACCACGTCCCGCGTCCGACTCCCGACCGCCGCGTGACCCGAGGCTCCCGGCGGTCACGTGACCTACCGGCCGGGACTGCAAACGGCCTTCAACACCATTCTTGTATGAAGTCATATCCTACTGAGGTGCTGATTGGTTATTTACACCGTAGTTATTTTTGTTTCATTGTTTTGCGTGTTTTTCTTATGTGAAATGTAATTAAAAAATTTGTCATATTTTAATCACCATTAAAGGTAGTGTGCCACCTTTGAAAGATTTCCCATTTTATTTTTCCTAGGATAAGAAGCTTCTGTTTTTACCTAATATCGCAAAAAAAAAAATCAAAAATGGGCCTGGAATAGTGCCTTTTTCGCCTAAAAGTTTATCGGTTTTTAGATATGTATAACAACTGTAGTGGGCTCACCTGCAAACAGGCGTCGGGCAACAATCGCGAATGCGGCGCACTTGTGACAATAAGCAAAGGTCATTATAGTGTTACGACCATACGACGTACGGGAATGAGTTATCAGCTGTCTAATCGTAGACAACACAATGTCGAGCCTTAAACTGTAAGCCCGTATTGGTATTGTTTCTTTTATTTGGCTGTCGAACATTATTTATGGTTTGAAATATGATTTTATGTAAAATAATTGATATGAAAAAGCCGTCTTATAAGTTATGACCCCATTTCACCACACGCAAGTGGCAGAAATGACAATGATCAGCTGACGCATTTTTCTTGGCCGAAGTCAGAGCGCGCAGCCCGACGCACCACCACCGCACCACAAAGTATGAGCAGAAGCCGCGCCCAAAGCCAGGGCCCCGGTAACGTGAGGTAGCCGAGTCGGGGCAGCGTGCGCTGACCCAAGCCGGGGCCGCAGCTTTGGGCGCGGTCTACCGCATCCCCGCGGGCAGCCCCGGGCTATCACATGACACCGGGAGGACGCGTGGCTCCGGCTTGGGTCAGCGCACACTGCCCTGACTCGGCTACCTCACGTTACCGGGGCCCTGGCTTTGGGCGTGGTCTACCGCACCACCTAACAGGCGTGTTCGAAACCGCAGGAGCTGATGATGAACGGGTTTATCGAAACTTGATTGGATGAGCATATCGGTAATAGCGATTTCAGTGTGTGCATTTATTGTTCATAGTGGTGTGAAATGTGGTTGGGGTACGACCGACAACCCGTCGGGGCGAATTTCGCACTGGGGTACTCAAAATTTGAAGAATTTAAGACGTTTCCATGAGTTTTGAAGGTATGGATAAGTACTAAAAATCCGGTTCTCCTTATCTGGGCCATTAACTCCATACGGTCCAAGAAAGCTGGCACACTACCTTTAAAACATAACTGAATAGGTATAAAAGAGAACTCGATAAATACTTTCATTGTTTTTAAGAATTCCGGAATTAGATACCCGAGGGAGCAGAGAGGGAGCAAGTTGCCACGCTGATTTGATACCTCATAGTCGAAAGGTGGGCTACTAGAACCGAAAATTGCTGTGTTTGTAAATAAATAAGTGATTTGAGGGCAAAGAATGCCCGGATTTAAACTTCTAAAATTATTTTGAACATAAAATATTTCAGTTTGAGGGATGTTAAGGCCTCAAAGAGTAGGTACTTTTCAGGTATCAAATAAGTTCCTCTGCGAAAGTTCCGTCGTGAAAACGGCTAATATGAATTGTTGAATTTCGAGTATTAAATAAGCCCAATTTATATTGTTTACAGCATAAACGATGCTTTGTATGCTTCTAACAACAATAGCGCCCATAGCAACGTTACACGCGATCGCTATGATGCCTAAAATTCGATCTGAAAATAGGGGAGAAATAGGGGAAGATTAAGGAAACCCTATGTAAACACGGCTATTGTGATCCTTGGGATTAGCCGAATCGAATGATACGCGATATGATGCAATTTGGTTAACTTGAACTTAATCAATTTATTCAAGTTCACTTCAAGCTAGAAAAACTTTAAGTCCACTTAAACTTGTAACAAGGTAGATACACTATTCGATGCGCTGCGCACGGACGTGCTGAGTTCACTGGTGCTTTTTTAGCTTAACTAGATCAAAAGTTATAAGCGACAAAACTTTTGACCTTTTCTAGCAATTTTTTAATTTGATCTATACCCCTCAAAACCCCGCTAGATATTGACCTAGAGCAACCAAATTTGCATAGGGGTGAGATCTTCTATATAGACCCATCTGTCCCTGGCCGTCCGCATTAGGAGAAAGGCCCTGGCCTGGCGAGGGTTGTTGCCCCGCTTTACTTCTGCGACGATATCGTGGCAACGCGGTGAGATAGTTAGAAAGGCGAAACTTTGCACACATCTTTCTGAATACCTAGCCAAGGTTGTGTTCAACTTTGGTGTCTAATCGATTTAAAATGACGTCACAGTGACGTCAGAAGTCAAATTATAGATTTGCGACTCTCAGTTTTCCTCACGATGAGATCGAATATAGAGGACCGATTATTGGTCAGTAAACTAGTTGTAAATGTGCTTAGATGTTTTAGGATGACAGCGGGTGCTGTCTAGTTCATTTACAGTTGAGTTTCATGCTCAGCAATATCAGAAACGGTCCATATCGGAAAATGACAAAACTTTATGACGTCACCGTCATCTCAAGTGCTGCAGCCACCAAACATTTCCCAAACATTGTCTAGGTATTCATTTTAAGCTATGCCAAGTTTCACGTTCGTTGCTCATCAGATTTCGGGGATATTCTACAAAACGTAAAGGGGACAACTTTATGCCCCCCCCCCCCCCCCCCCAGCGGTTTGTGGATAAAAAAACGGATAGATCTGGTTTGTCATAAGCATTTTTGACCATTATTCTTGTTTGGCAAGTAACTTCTTAAGTTACTGTTCCTCAGGTGAAACTTGTTAGGTACTTATGATGTATATTTTACGTGTCATTGCAATGACAATAGACATCAATTACAAAATACACAACACACAAGACAAATGTAAAGCTGTGGTGCAACCGCGAGCTTGACACAACAGAATGATAATGATCTATATACAAATGTGTACCTGAGAGATGCTAATGGGAAGCAGAATGAGATTCTCCTCAATATTTCCCATGCGTCCTATATCACAATGACTGGCCCAGAGCCGAATCCTTCACAGCAAACGAGACATGAAACGGCAAGTAGTTCACAACAAAAATCAGTACAGCACTCCAGACAAATATAACCATCCTAACAAACCTTTCTCTGGCAAGCCTTATGTCGATAACCGGCAAATCTTCTGCAACCACACAACTTTGTAAAACATCAAATACGATGAACCCTATGCACAGAGTGTTCGCTCAAAAGACGACAAGCGTCCTATTAATTCCAGTGCCATTAAAGTGAGGTCAGCCTCCGCGGGTACTGCTAAACGTACTGTAGGCCGGTGAGATCGGCAGAGCTGTCACCAGTGTGTATCCCTCCTCTTTGTCCTCGAACAGCTCCTCGATCTGCTGCAGGCTCAGGCCGCGCGTCTCCGGCACGGCGGCCGCCACCAGCAGCAGGATGGCGCCCGTGACGCCCGCGTGCGCCGCGAACACACCGCCTATGCCCAGCGCCGCCAGAAGGCCCGGGAACACCTGCACGCCGGCCAGCGAGGTTATGTTGTAGAAGAGCACCAGCGCCGCGCCGCCGGCGTCGCTCAGGCGCGCCGGCACGATCTCGCCGATGACGCACCACGGCACCGGGCCGACGCCCATGCAGAAGAACGAGATGGCCAGGATGAGCATGACAAGAGGCATTTGCGTGTAGGGGGCCAGCGATGGGATGTAGAAATAAGCGGCCAAGCCGAGATAGCTAATGGTCATGCCGGCCGCCGAGAAGAGCAGCAGCACGCGCCGGCCCAGTCGGTCGATGAGGACGGAGACCAGGCCGACGGCCACGATGCGGATGACGCAGAGAAGCACGCTGACCACGGTGGCGTCCAGCGTCGACCCGAGTGTGCGCAGGAACACGAGCGAGTAGCTGAGCACGGCCATGTAGCCGCAGAAGGCGACGCCGAGCAGCAGCGCCGCCGACAGCAGCAGCGGACGGTAGTGGCGCGGCTGCTTCACCAGCGTCCACGTCGACTTCCGAGGCGCAATTTCCCCTGAAGTGTTGGGCTCTGGATCCGGCAGAGGTAGGCCGAAGAAGCGCGCTGCTTCTTTCGCCTCGCTGAGCCGACCAGTGCGCAGCAGGTACACGGGATCTGACGGAGCTATCAGGAGCGCCACGGCCGTGGGCAGGGCGAACAGCGCTGCACTGATGATCGCCGCCCACCACCAGGGGAAGTAGACTCCGAGAACCAGGCTCAGGATGACGTACACCATGTAGACGATGTCGGGCAGCAGTGCCAGGAAGCCCCGGTACTGAGGCGAGGCCACGGCGCTGATGTAGAACACGTGCAGCACGAAGGCCGGTCCGGAGAAGAGGCCGACTATCAGGCGTCCGATGAGCAGTGTGTTGTAGCACTTGGCGAAGGCTGTGACGATGAAGCCGGCCACGGTGGGCACGCAGCACCAGAGCATGGTGTTGCGCGCTCCGAACCGTTTCGACAGCTTCCCGGCCACCGCTGATCCGACTACTGTTCCCAGAAAGTTTGAGCTCACTGCGGAAACAAGAAACAACGGATTAGTCCCGAAGCCTATGTTCAATAACTTAGCATCAGGAGCCATGACACTTATAAATGAATGAGTTTGGCTATTTAATGATAAGTTATGAAGTGTGTTGATTTACGTTTTAGGTTTGAGTGGCGTGGCAAAAGGTGCCAAATGCCTGTGAAATGAAATTTGTTGGTGCTATTCAATATTTTTAACCTTTTAATCAATGGTAGCGATTAGCGATCTGAGCTTTTGCGCAAATAGTAACAATCGGCTTTGTGAAAGGTTACCAAGCCACGAATAGTGTGTTGTCTTAAAATCTTAGAACGGCCTGCTGGGTTTTACCTCACCTATCCACACTTGCTGCTCCTCGGTGAGGACGAATCCTCCGATGCCACGAGACAGCTGGTCCACGCAGAGACTGCCGATTCCGATGCCGACGGCCCAGCCACCGACGGCCATCGAGGCTCCAATCACTGCCAGAAACTGCGAGAATAGAGAAAATCATGCAATAAAAATAAAAATAATCGAACAATATTTTATGTCATTGTTGCAATCACTGGCTAATCAAAAGGAAATCGTTCCTTGGTGAGACGATAGTGAGAAGATAAGCGTAATTGACAACAATGTAGCCAAAAAAATGATTGAACTGTATTTGACACAATTGCACAAAATCAAAGCACCACACTCGAACTCACCTGTGCCCAAAGGCGTGGTTTCACATGAGAAGTGCCACTTCCCTGCGCCTCTATTTCACGAGCCGATCCCATGTCTATTGACTGTTGATTACAGATCTCCCACAACTGAACCAAAAGTCTCAGCTGGGTGGCCGAGAGCGACCCACGCCGGGAAGGTGATTTGTCCAAGCGACAGACGTGTGCGGAATGACTGCTTTCTCGGGGCACGCGACCGCTTATAAACGCCGGGGGCGGGGGAGGGAGGGGGCGGGGAGACCGTCGCACTCCGCCGACACCATGTGAGCGGGAAGTGTGGGTACGGCGCCGGTCATCCAATGTTTAGACTGAGACACTGCTAAAGAGGCACACGTGGTTGGCTAGCTGGTTTAAACTGGCACTAATCAGTGACCGCAATGCTGCAGTTCATGCTCATGGGGTGACGTATTAATCAACAGAATTTCATTTTCCAGAAAAAATGAAACTCGGTCATCTAAAATGATTAGGTTTAATCATCAGGATTTTCAAAGCGGTGAGTTTTAGGTACAGCTAAATGAAAATCACCTGTTTTTAACCCGCGCTCCGCTGGGCTACTCACTATTCAGCAGTACGCTCCCTACTGGGGGAGAAGGGGGTCTATTCTGCCCCCCGTCTAACTTCCGAACTGATGGTCGTAGAAAGATGGAAAAACGGCACTCAAAATCTCTACTCAAGACGGACCTTTGTCGCTAAAATGTGTTTACTTTAGTAGGTGAGAGGTCAGGTCAAGGTCAGGTCAAGGGTACACAATACAAGTTTATACCTTATCGGCTTTGGAGCGCAGGTGCCGAAAAAATGGATTGAGATTGTTTACGCAAAACATGTTCTTGGACTACCATAAGATGCGCTGCAGACGATGTCATGCAAAGGTCAATGTTAAGGTCAGATTAGGTCACCAAAAGCGAAATATAGAAAAAGACATGTGCGATACATATTCTATGGGTCATTGTATTCATAAAATTAAATGCACATACTCAATTGCATATTGACCATATTTGGATAAATTCAGGTCCAGGTCAGGTCAAGGTCAGGTCAAGTGAGGTTAAATTTCAAAGTTGATTCTTAAAGCTCAACAAGGTGTCTAGGTATATGATGCAGTTTTTTTTGTTCACGAAAATCGAATGATGCTTTTTTTGTTCCGTTACAAGGTATGGAACTTCCAAAAGATTATTTTTTGAAAAATGTGATTGTCTTGACGTCATAAACGTTGAATAACTCCTACAGTTTTTAGCCGATTCTTCTAAAAATTGGAATGTAGATGATGCTCACGTCTCGCACTATCTCTCTAGCATATATCCGGGTTTTTATAATCTCAAAATTTTGGACTTAATAGCCGTTTTCACGACGACCATATGGTACACATTTGGTGCACATCTGGTGCAGATAAGGTGCAGATTTGGTCAAATTAGGTGCACTCGCCGGATAGCCCGTCGTGAAAACTGCTAATAATGATTAGAAAACAGTTGTTTAAAGGGGCAAAAAAACGAGATACCCATTCGAAACACAAAGCAGAATCACGTACATTTTTGTTACGTCTTGATTCCAGAAAAAAAAACTGAAGATGTTAGAGGCGTTTGAAGTTTTGCTGTTTTTGAAGCCCAAATGGTGTGACGTGACGTCACTAAACCGTAATTTTTTCAAATATTTTCCTACGGATTTTGCTCAAATTTTCAAGGAATATGTCGAAGCAATGTATGATAAGGTACTGAAAGTCTAAATATTTGACGTTGCTGGCTCAACGCGCTTAGAAGCTATTGGCGAAAAGCGGCATTTTTGGTGACTCTATACTGCGACTCCAAATCTGGCTTCCTAAAATCGACTCCGACTCCGGGTAGAACTGTTGACTACGACCGAATCCGACTCCAACTAGGCAGGTCTGCGAAGTCGATGCATGAATTTTCGGTGACTCCGATTCCGACTCCTACTCTGACTTCCAAAAATCGACTCCGACTCAAAATTGACTCCGACTCCGACTTAAAAAAAATCGACTCCGACCCCGACACCGAGAAGAACTGTCGACACCGACCGACTCCGACTCCTACCCCGACTCCGCAGCCCTGGGAACAACACTTAACTGCAATGCAACTGGAAAACATCTACACTGAGACACGTTGGTCCAGGGAGAGCCATATCTCACTAGAAATAATTGCAAGTCATTACTGCACTCTAGTACATTAACAATGAAATGAGAGCACTTCCTGAAATGTACTTCCTGAAATGTACTTCCTGAAATGTACTTCCTTCCTGAAATGCACTTCCGAAAGTAACCAGTCTTATCAGGCTAGGACCAGTTATGTGGCAGGCGAGGAATTCCTCGCGGCCACCAGCTGATCGACGCGTGCCGCCGGCGCCGTCCGACGTAAACACCGAGAGAGTGAGACGGACAGCTTCTGACAGCTGTGACCAAGCCGAGAATTTCACATGACCGTTGCTCTCCTTAACTGGACTTAGTCGGATTGATCTTGCTCAAGCTAGACAGGGCAGCCTCATTTATTGAAAGCCGCTCGGCTGGCAACTGTTGATTTGAAGGTGCACTATACGCTCTCATGGACCCGTCCACGAGCGCAACATTTGTTTGAAGCCGTTGTACGTCACTGATGGTCCATGGCTAACTACTGAGTCATGAACCATCAGTGCTTTGTAGCCAACCGAAGGAACCGTCCAGCATTGCTTACATAACATAGCCTTCTGGCTTCTGGAAGGGCATGGTCTGCGTCTGAATGCCGCCTGTCCCTACCTGATGATAGCCCAATAGCAAAACAAATGTTTGAATGGTTCACAATTTTAAGGTATAACTATACTGATGTAGCTCAATTCTAAACTATTTTTGGTTTATTTACTGTGGACTGTACCGTATACACCGTTTCAGGACCGTTTTACGGAATGATAGGGGAAGTATTGGGCTTGTTTGACTGCACATCACATCAGAAAATGTCCCGAAAATGTCCCCATACAGCCCAAGGCTATAGAACTGATACAGCCCCTCAAAAGCTCCGGCCTCCTGACCTACACCGGAAGAAATAATTTAGCCCACGCTCGGATGGTGGTCTCAGCCAACTTTTACGTGACTGAGGTTGCATAAATCACACCCGATTACCTTGGAATCTTTTTGACATGAAGGGTTCGATGAAGGGACTCACAGCTCGTAACATGTTCTTTTCAGTGTTGAGTTTTTTCACTTTGGTGTATGCTGAGGTTATCTGCTCTATGTACACTTTCAAGGACACAATTTTCCCGATTCCCGAATTTCCCGAATTAATCATAAGCATAAGGCATTGGGTAGCTCATTCAATCCCTAAGCTTAGACACCCTGGCACCATATAATCCATAACCACTCATCCACGGTGGCTTGTGTATAAATGCGCTATTACACACACTCACGCACTTCGTTTATTTTCTTACCGCCACCACTGCAACTTGACTCTCTCAACAGGCAGCTTTTGAGAAATTCCACCAGGCGGCGGTAACGGTGGATGTGTAGGAGCTGCTGCACCAGCACCACACGCCAGTCGTTTCTGCCGGGAGTGTGAAAATGGCTGCACAGTGCACGTAAACAGCAAATGTGCGACTCACGCAGTCAGCTCACGCAAACTGAGCACCTTACCTTGAAAGCATTGGTGCGCCGTGCGAGGGATGGGTGGCAAAGTGCCCAAACGGAAAATGGAAACGGCAATCTCAATTGAAATAGCAAATTGTTTCAAGCATCGGTACTGACATATTGTGGTGTTGATTCGTTGGTGCCATCCACATAGCGGATCCGGCATTCACTCAGTAATCAAGCAGTGAAACTGGAACTAGCAAGCATCTGTACCTACGTATACAAGTAATTCGCACCGCGCTGCAAGCTACGAAATCATGGAAGGTAAGTACATTTACCTACATACCTGGCGTACCCACTGATCTTATATCTATCGTTGTGCTGTTTGTGGCATGTAGTAGCCTGGCGGGGAACTGCGAAGTGTTTTGTACTTCTTACTGTCACACAGCATTTCCACCCCATGCATTGTCGGCTGCACGGAAAAAGCACAAAGTTACATACTGTGCCGCTTAAAGGTAGTGTGCCAGCTTTCTTGGACCGTATGGAGTTAATGGCCCAGATAAGGAGAACTGGATTTTTAGAACTTATCCATACCTTCAAAACTCATGGAAACGTCTTAAATTCTTCAAATTTTGAGTACCCCAGTGCAAAATTCGCTCCGACGGGTTGTCGGTCGTACCCCAACCACATTTCACACCACTATGAACAATAAATGCACACACTGAAATCGCTATTACCGATATGCTCATCCAATCAAGTTTCGATAAACCCGTTCATCATCAGCTCCTGCGGTTTCGAACACGCCTGTTAGGTGGTGCGGTAGACCACGCCCAAATCCAGGGCCCCGGTAACGTGAGGTAGCCGAGTCAGGGCAGCGTGCGCTGACCCAAGCCGGAGCCGCGCGTCCTCCCGGTGTCATGTGATAGCCCGGGGCTGCCCGCGGGGATGCGGTAGACCGCGCCCAAAGCTGCGGCCCCGCCTTGGGTCAGCGCACGCTGCCCCGACTCGGCTACCTCACGTTACCGGGGCCCTGGCTTTGGGCGCGGCTTCTGCTCATACTTTGTGGTGCGGTGGTGGTGCGTCGGGCTGCGCGCTCTGACTTCGGCCAAGAAAAATGCGTCAGCTGATCATTGTCATTTCTGCCACTTGCGTGTGGTGAAATGGGGTCATAACTTATAAGACGGCTTTTTCATATCAATTATTTTACATAAAATCATATTTCAAACCATAAATAATGTTCGACAGCCAAATAAAAGAAACAATACCAATACGGGCTTACAGTTTAAGGCTCGACATTGTGTTGTCTACGATTAGACAGCTGATAACTCATTCCCGTACGTCGTATGGTCGTAACACTATAATGACCTTTGCTTATTGTCACAAGTGCGCCGCATTCGCGATTGTTGCCCGACGCCTGTTTGCAGGTGAGCCCACTACAGTTGTTATACATATCTAAAAACCGATAAACTTTTAGGCGAAAAAGGCACTATTCCAGGCCCATTTTTGATTTTTTTTTGCGATATTAGGTAAAAACAGAAGCTTCTTATCCTAGGAAAAATAAAATGGGAAATCTTTCAAAGGTGGCACACTACCTTTAACATGACAGTTCCGCTTTCCGTCGTTAGATGCCACCCTGACCATGCGCATTGCGCATGAGCATGCTGTGCTGCACGACAAGGTATTTCCGCTTTTAGTCACTAGTGACTAGATGTCCAATGTCCATATAAGTAAGCGCCTGAGGCATGCTGTGCCGCACGACACGACAGTTCCATATTCTGCCACTAGATGTCACGTGCGTAGACGCCTGAAGGATGCTGTGCCGCACGACACAACAGTTCCATATTCTGCCACTAGATGTCACGTGCGTACACGCCTGAAATATGCTGTGCCGCACGACACGACAATTCCATATTTGGCCACTAGATGTCACGTGCGTAGACACCTGAAGGATGCTGTGCCGCACGACACGACAGTTCCATATTCTACCACTAGATGTCACATGTAAAGACGCCTGAAGGATGCTGCGCCGCATGATTCAATGGTTTCCGTTTCATGCCACTAGGTGTCGCCGAAAATCAGCGCCTGAGCTATGCTGTGCCGCATAGCTTAGTAGTTCGATATTCTGCCATCTAGATATCACCCTAAGTGAGCGCCTGAATAATACTGTGCCACAGGGCTAATATTCATTTATCGGCACGGTGCGCGTGATCATCGTGCAATAAGAAGTGGTCGCTCTTTTTCCTGTTTGCTTCACAAGCCCCGATACATTGCATGGCAAGAATGACTACTGGTAAGTAATTATCATGTTCCCTTGAACTTAGAGTGATACTCTTACGTTAAAAGTGAGTAACCTGATTTATCCCTTTTCCCTCTATAAAGTAAGGGATACCTATCCTTTTTTAATCCCTTTCCCGATGTCCGATACCCCTTTTTGGTAGATTAAAAACAGGAAATGTAGTTCAGTTTCAGTCAGTTTTGTCGGTTCAGATTTTGCTGGAACTAAATGTTTTCGATGATATTCATGATATTGTTGCCTCAGCCCCACTCATATACCTCCCGTAATCAACACAACACACAGGTTATTGTAGTGGGGAGAATCGGCTTTATTATAACGAAACTCAGCAGCGTTGAATCCAACTATATCGTGTCCTTGAGGCAGCTTTCCTGACAACAGAAACGAATTCCTTCGCCAACTACTGCGCCGAGCGAACAGGACCGTGGTCGATCAGCTACTATATCGCGGGGTTCGTTTGACACTTGACTTTCTATATCAACACAGCACATGACTGGACTGTCAACACAGCGGTAACACGTCCCACAGTAGTCGCGCGCGCGCGCGCACTGCGGAACTTTGTGTGGACACTCCGCCGGGGCGAGTGACTCGATCGAGCGCACGCGGCGCCAGCGGCCCGCATATCTCATCTGCAACTCCCCGGCCTTAGAACACATCTCCTAATACCACCCACTTGGCGCCTGTGGTGGCGAGCCGACACGGAGCCGCTCCACTTCAGCTCGATTCCTTTAGTTCAACAGTCCATAACAGCTTAACTAGAGTTGTTTTTGTGGCTGGCGGCGCGCGGTCCCGAGGCACCATGTAAGCTCCGTTTCGGACTGATATGGGGCGACCGGCACGGCCGATCGGCCGCCATGACACCTCCATCAGCCTGCTATCACGTGTAACGGCGCGGCGACTGGAGGCAGACAGACGGAGAGAGCGCTGCACGGAGCAGCGGCGGAGAGAGCAGAGAGCAGCGAGAGGCGGAGAGAGAGTTCAGAACTGGTCGGCGGATAGCAGAGGACCGACCGGCAGAGAGCGATGGAGGCCGTCAGTGACGGCGGCGATAGAGCAGCAGCGTGCCGCGACCACAGCGCCGACTAGCGGATGACTGGCGAAACACAGCGCGGAGCCGCGCGAGCGGTCCAATTATTAGGTCCGACAGGACAGTTCGAGGCTCCTCGCGCAGAGACCAGTCCGGATCGAGACGCGGCCACGCAGCCGCGCGCTTTACCCTTCTCACTTTCGACAGTCACCTCTGCCTGCACCGGCGGCCAACAGAGCAAAGGCACCAAACCAATCACTGGACACAAACCAAATCGAATCACCGTACGCAGAGGGGCAGGGCGGGCGGACGACGGGCGGGCATACTGGTTAGTTACAGAGGCCATGTTTGTTTAGAAGACGAACCAGCTACGGGGAGTGCCGACAACCGGTACACAAGAGCGCCGCTTGGACAATGCACAACGTTCAGCGCCGCGATGAGCGATTATAAAACACGAGTCTACACTAGAAAACACATATAATGGTACACATGTTCAGTGAAGCGCGTACAACCGCACTTGAAAACATAACAAGGTCCGTGGCGTGACGCAGCATACAGCAGGTCAGGATGACGCGCAACGTGCGTGTATGTGAGTGTGTATGTGTATGTAGGTATGTGTATGTTGATCAGGGTATGGATTTGACTGTGTGTATTGAGTCAGTGTGTCTGTCAGTATCAATACGGGCAAGCCTAAAGTATGCATGCTTGCTACGGCGGGTGTCGGCAGAGGCAAGTGTGGCGACTGGCAAGCGCCGATCAGCGCCGTGTATTGCGTGTGTATTGCGCGGCACGGTTGGCGCCATCTAAACATGCAGTGTGAGCCTTGTGCAGTTATTGCAGTGAGCAACAGACGCCCCAGGGGGCCGGCGTCTCGGCACCCAGGTGGTGCAGCGGGTGGGGTGGCAGGCCGCGAGGTCTCGGCCGGGCCTGGGGGGAGGCCAGCGGACTGCCGCCATACCCCTCGTCCGCCTCCTCCGCCTCCGCTCTGGCCTCGGGGCACACGAGTGCCTTCGAGGCGGGGGCGGCGGCGGGGGCGGCGGCGGCGGAGTACAGTGCGCTGTCTCCGATCAGCTGTCGGTCACTGGCGCGGTGCAGGGAGCCCACTTGGAGCAGTTCCTGTGCCAGCGAGGCTCGCGGAGTGTCGGCCGGCGCCGGCGCACCGAGCGCCACCGGGTCCACCTCCTCCGAGCCGTCGCTGTCACCCCCGGCGGAGGGGACACCGGCCGGCGCAGAGCCGTCCAGGGGAACGGTCAGCACCGCGCGCTCGTCCAGATCGACCAGCTGGAGGACGGCAGGGGGCGAGGGGGACTCGTCCAGCGCCACGCCCAGTGAGTAGTAGGCGGCAGGGTTGAGGCGCGCCGCCGACGCCTTGGTACGGTTGGCAACCCTCTCCCCCGCGAGGACGCTACTGCGTGACGCAGGGGAAGGGTTGCCTTGCACGTTTTTTGGCGGCGCCGCGGATGTGGTGGTGGGAGCGGAGGCTTCCGCCTCGGCGTCGCTTTCCCAGTCGTCGTCGTCGACGTCAGAATCATCTGAGTTGTCGGCGACGACGAACACGGCCTCTGGGGACTGGTCCTTGAGCCAGCCGCGGACGGCAGAGCTGATGGACCGGTCTGAGAGGCTCGAAGGAGGGGAGGGTGGCGACCCGTCCGGAGGAGGGGACGGGTCCGGTGCCGGTGCCGCCAAGTGAGGCTGCAGAGAGACAGCCGGTCCGGGCGAGGTACCTGCCACAGACGCAGCCTCTGCCGTCACCGCAGACTGAACATCGGCCACTTTGGAAGCGCTGGAGAGAGCCGATGGCACCTCCTTAGAATTGTCAGCGGTTGCGCCGCTAGGAAGAACAGGGGATGGCTCAGTGGTGTCTTTCGGTAAGCTAGCCTCTGAGGAGGGTGGTGCGGGAGGTTGCGTCAACACATGAGGTACAGAAGGAGCATTCACTTGGCCTATCACGCTCTCTTCCTTTGAAGGTGGACTAATGTCAGGGACTGCACAGACCTCTACCGCAGTTTTCACGCACGCCACCGGCTCCTCAGCTATCGCCTGTTGGCGGAGTTTGCCAGAGTGTTCGTCTAACCTCTCCTCCGAGGCCCTGAGCTGACGTTCCTCGGACACTTCCTTCTCGGAGAGCCGACCTGTCTCCTGAGAGCTGACTGAACCGGGAGAGCTCTCCCGATCTCTCTCGCTCTCTGTCTCCTCGAGAATCACCGTGCGCCGCAGGTCCACTGGCACAGAGAGGTCCGTAAATGTGCGCACTGGCACTGGCTCGTCCTCAAACTCAGCGATAACCTCCGACGCCTGCGACGTGGACGAGCTCTTGCGCGAAGTGTCGCAGAGAGTGTCACTGTCGACAGGCGTGGCAGCGGTGTCTAAAAAATCGCCCGGCGGCGGCGAGGCGGCCGGTTCGCCGAGCGATTTGTCCTCGTAAACAAACGAGTCACAGCTCTCAGAGTCATCATCAACGGGCTCGCGCTCCGGCGAGCCGCCCTCTGAGTCGTCATCGTCCACCACCGCGTCGGTCGCGTCTCGGCCACTGTCAGGGGCGGCGTCAGGATCCCCACAGGGGAGCGCCGCCTCAGCAGCCGGCTGCGCCGGGGACAGGATGGCCGCCTCGAGCGCAGAGACGGCCGCAGGCTCGTTTTTTGGCTGGCTCTCGGGCTGGGAGGACGGCGGCTGCTCGGCGGCCTGCTCGGTGACCACGGCGGTCGGCTGCATCTTCAGCTGCGTGTCCAGCTGGCGGCTGAGCGCAGTGGCGGCGCTGTGCAACAGCTGGCCGTCACGTGACACAGTGTCGGACGCCGCCGGGTCGGTCACGTGACTGCGGTCACCGGAGGGTCGGCGCTGAGGTGAGTCGGGTAGTGAGACGTCGCTCTGTACTCCTGACGATGTCTGGTCGCTGGCCGGCCGGCCAGAGGTCTTGTGGTCGGAGCGCACCCGGTCACCAGAGGCGCTCGAGTCCGAGCAGATGGCCACACAGTCGGGGGTGGGCGGCGGCTCGCGGCACCCGTCCGAGCCGTCGTCCGTCACCTGCCGAACGGAGCCCGGTCAACGTCCATAGCTGAGCGAAAGAAATGATACTAGAAGAGCATTTAACATCGACAGTGACTCAGATTAGAGGTTACCGAGGCTGATAATTATATAAAGGACTGCCGGACTGGTTAACTGAAATGAAGTGAATGCGCTCATTGTGTTTATTAGGTATGTAAGCTATAAAAGTCTGTGCGAGGAATTTTTCAAAAGCATGAACGTCGGTGCTTCCTGCAGACGAAAGTCGTTCAGCATAGTTCGTATGCAAGACCGAAGACGTGAGCTTAGTCCATGAACTACCGAGGCTAGTCCAACACAAACACGTTAAATTTAGCTCATGAAACGTTCAGGCTTAGTAGCGCAGCCTGCATACCTATTTCCTTGATGCTCGTATCTTAAAACGGCCACGCTTTCATAGAAAGACGTCATCGACGTCATTAAGTAAAGGTGTGCACTTTAAAGAAAGCATATACCTACCTAAATGATCGATTGTGACTGACATTATATTATTATTTTATCAATAAATGCTTCAAAGCCATAATCAGCCCAACGTTTCAAGCGTATATCCCAAGCAATTCCAAATGTACGTGTATAGCTGCAAAACGTTATGACGGTAAAAGTGCGCTTTTAAAACAGACATTTTATACCTCTTTAGATATACTTACCCCGCTGTCGACGCTATGTGTCTTCTTCTTTTGCTTCTTCTTCTTCTTTTTGAGGCGGCGGGTCTTGCCCTCGTCCCCCGGCGAGGCCTGCTGCTCCTGTTCGGCGTAATCTGAAACAACAATGGCAAACTGTAAGCATACAACCACGCTTTTTCCTACGACACCTTTTACTTCAACCGTTCTTTCGCATGTCTGCACGTCACCACTGCATTAGTACATTTATGTATCGAACAGTTATAACGGAACCAAAATCATTGAACACAACGGTCGTGTATTTTGTGTCATATTAGGTCCACTGTATTGATCGGTCTTATTAGGTGTCTTTTATGAAGTGTTCATTGTGTGCTCATATTGCATTGTATATGACGAAGGTCGCAGAATAGCCCTGCACCAGTGGAGCGACCTTATTCGGTAAATACATACATACATACATACATACATACAAAACAATGAATTTATCATTGTTGGCCGTCTTTGATTAGAGGCATGTGCAAACAAAATGCGCTGGCATTTGAACAGATAAAAACTGCGCTAGAAATCTGCCAGTAGGCACAATCCTTTGCCTTCCATGACATTCACGTCCCTAGAGGCCCATCGTTTCTTCGCTAGAGCCAACGCCTTTCCCAAAAAACAATCAACCTTCCACACAAACCCATGACACATCGTCTGAACGCCCATCCGGCCCTGCTGAAGCCCCGCCAAGCAAACCCCGGTCTGTAAACCGCTCCCGCTGAGCCGCTTCCCACCAAGTCAACACAGAGGTCTAAACACCAGCCGCCGCCGCCACCACCGGCAGTTCACCGGTCTCTTACAATCCTCCCTAGACCTCTCACCGGATCTCACCACTTCTCACAGACCTCTCACTACTCCCAATAGCGCTCCACCAGATCAGAAACAACACTTAGTCTAGGAGCAGCACAGCTTGCCCTGTCACCTTCACTGCTGCGGAGCGAATCTGACAGGTCGGCCGCCGGGTGCAGCGGCCCGGCCCGGCCCGGCGGCGGGGGCTGGGCGGCGCGCTCATCCTGTGCTAATATTGGACAGCGGCAAGCGAGCGGTGGCGAGGGCAGAGGGCGGAGGGCAGAGGGCAGAGGATGGGCGCTGGGCTGGCACTGGCTCCGAGCGAGCTGCCAAAGCTAACGGGGGGCATCGGAGACGGTGTGACGAGCCAGGGTCTCTCAACAGGTGATCGGACGGACATTTGTCAGATTTTTCTTTTTTAATTAAAGGCGCGAAATGGCGGAAATAAGTTTGTAATATTTTAGTAAATGTTGACTCGTGTAAAGGGATTTACCTAATGCAAGAAAAAAGGAGAAATAATAACATAACTATGTGGTTGTGGCGATTAATCTTAAATTGGAGCCAGCCGATTGCAGAATATTTCAGAGGACAAAACGTTTATTACGATGGGTGCCTAAATACCTAAAATGCTTATGTGATTCGAGCTACAAAAGTAAAAGACAGTAAATACGAATCTCCGTCCAAAATTATGGGATGTCATTTTCAGAATTCCCAATTAATGTCCTTTGGCATGCCGATTCGCAAACAATCCCTCAAATCGGCGCTCGTTTGACATCCACTGGGCCGTTTGACATCGGCGTAGATCTCGACCTCAGATCTTTGGTAAAGGCCCAAATCGCGGCGCCACAGGCTGGCTCCCTGCCGGCCCGGCCCGGGACCGTCACCTCTGCACTTCAGGGGAGCACACAGAGGGCGCTGTGCGCCCCAGCACCGCAGAGGGCGCTGCAGGTCAGCATTGCAGGAGTTGCAGTGCAATATGCCTTCTGGGCACATTGCATATAGGGATAATGTGAACCTGAAGTTGCAGCACTATCCACGAGAGGTCTCTGAGCACTGTGCACTGGGGTTGAGGCAGGTCATTGGAACGACAATTGCTGGCCGAGAATACACTATAAGGACGGGTGTGTTACGTAATGTGGGAGAGCAACGGACCCAGGTGGTAAACTTGCACCATACGCAGCGAGCAAGTGCAAGTCCGCGACTGTGAGACAGGTTTATCAGCGCTACAAAAATAGGAGACAGGTGTAGGCAGGTACCCACATCCGAGCTAATTCGAGGCTCTAGCAGAAAAGCAGCCGCTAAAGTGGATACGAAAAGAAATGTGAAGAGCATGAATATGTTTCATCAGTCAATGAATTGCAAATTGATCAATTGAAATCGCCGTCTTGATCAGTGAAGCCACATTATCGAAACGGAACGGATTCTCAACAGAGCGGCTCTCAACGGCCCTCAACGGAATGGGACCGAGCTAAATGGTGATCTGACTGAATGAGCTGAACTCACCAGGCACCGAAACCCTCTCCCTATCTCATGAGCAACGCCTGTGACTCAATTCAACGGTAATAATCCCAACACAAAGATTAGGATGCATTAATAATGCGAGTATATCACCTCAGATTCTTCGCCATTAACTCCACTGGTCACGCCCTCTCAGCTGTTTCCACTAACGACCTCCATCATATCACGCGGACTTCGCACGTCACGTGGCCCCCGTCATGTCACATGTCGCGGCGCCCGTCAGTCGGCGCGGTGACCGGCCGAATCTGTACCCCTCTCCCGAGCCCCTTCCGCGTGTCCTGCCGGGGGAGCGGCCCTCTGCCCGGCTGGGTGCGGCCGTCACTGTATCGACTTGACCCCGTTAGTTGCCACATTGCACGCGACCACGTGGTCTCAGCTCCAGTCCCGTGCGGGCAAGGGGCACATGACTGCCGGGTGGCATGAGCCGCCTATCTGGCGGCATCACCGACCGGCCGGCCGGGCGGCCCCCGGCCGTCCTTCAATGACGTCACTGCGGGGCCCGGCCGGCCGGTCGGTCGGTCGGTCTGTCGGCTGGCTCCTGTCATCGGTTCGATCTCACTCGCCGTGTATTTGGAGAGACGCCAGCGGTGCCTGCCTGTCGCGTACAGGGACCCGCAGTTGCTACTGTACAGCGACCCTGAGTAAATTGTCCCAGCACCCTCACAGGGAACAACGATAAGCTGTCAGAGGGTACTCACGGGAAACCTCAGCTGCTCTTGTACAGGGACCAGCAGTCGATATCAATGTTATCGGTTGTTACTGGACAGGACAGACGGTTAGACTTGGGGTTCGTGTACAGTAGCAACTGCGGGTCCCCGTACCCGTGTCCATGGAGACGAGCCCTGCCGGTCCCCTCCCGACCACGGCGCTGCGCGATAGTAAATTCGGCCGGGGCGAGGCGGGCGGCACGAGGCGATGAGCTGGAGTCCCGTGCCGCGGCCCGCCGGCGCGCAGGACCAGTTTCACCGAGACCACGGTGTCAGCGTGGAAAATTCCAGTCACGAGCCGTGAGATAGCAGGAATGAACGCGGCGACTGTATAAATAGCCAATCAGGGCTATAGGCATGCCTTTTGCCTAATCAAGTTACTCGTTTAAATTAATCGACTGCAATTTTTTAAGCATGCTGCATTTAAACGGTGTTTTTCAACATTTGATAGAAGGCCAATTTCACCTCCAAGGCTTCTGAATTTCGGCACCAAAAGTAATCCTTCTGAAGGCATGTTCGTCGCGTTCAGCCATGACTGAATCTAAAACGCAATGCGTGAGCGTTATAAACAAGCACAAGAGCGACACATACACGACAAAATTAAGCCGACAAATCAAAGTGAGCCGACAGAAGGCTTCGTTTGTATATGGTTCAGATGTCTTCAACATATTGCGTCAAAGTCCAAGGCCTCTTCTCTTAAGGGTTAATGAACCATCGCGACGCATTCACTCCTTTCCACTTATGAATAAGACACAAATGCCGCTCAAAACTTTTTTAAAACTCATAACAAAGCTGAGCTCAACACGTCTCCTGCAATCATACAGTGGCCGTCTTGCTTGTTTGACGAGCGAAGTATTCAACACTAAGAACAACAGCAAAACTTGCGAAAGTAGTTCTAGCCGTTTTGGACTTCTGCTTTTAGCGGTTTTGGACTATTGAGCTATTTTTTAGGTTAAACACCTAACGTGCAGGTCACCAAATGGCCATAAAAGGTCCGACCATCCTACATGCTACACTGACCTATCCATGAGGCATCAACACCCCCAAGGCCGTCCGTCAACATGTAACAGCCTGGGAAGGACGCGTCTCCGGTGCTGCAGCCGCCTCCCAAAAACCCGCTCCGTCGCCCAATAGGAGTGGGTTAGGGTCGTTTTTGTGCCGCTCGCCGGCGGTCCCGGTTCCAGAACGTCACTGTCACTGACAAGACATCTAATCACAATCTGGTTTCAGTGAGCAATTAGTCGTGGCTCAGTTGCTAGTCGGTTTTTCAGTGCAATGGCGGTGGGATCTGCGTGCACAAGTGTGCGTACTCGGGTCTCGGGATCAAAGAAAAACGTATAAAGCTTTGGATGCTGTCATTCGTTTAGTGTCACGAACGAAAGAAAATTGAAAGATTTTCGCGTACACCATTAGCCAAATTGTCTTCAATTCAGCGCTGCTCTCAAATAAGGCCATTCGGGGGCTTCCCAGCAGAATTGGGCATTGAAATGATTGACGTTAGACCAACTGGAGATAATGCTCGATCAATGCCGGAGGCCGTGCTACTGAAGTACACAATTTTAAATAAGGCAATCTTGGAACTCGACCGACAGCAAAGGAACGCTACTTACAGTTGACACACAAAAAAAAAAAAAAACGCAAACAGCGTGCATTCGGTGCCTTGCTGCCATATATGGAGCTAGCATTCAGAAGCGAAACGGAATCTACTTCAAAGAGGGAAACGGTTGAAAAAAACTCACCATCATGGCAGGTGTGTAACCCACCCTTTTGGAATATCTCTGACTCCATCTGACAGGATTATAGCTACATTATGATGTCAGTCGAGAAGTTTAGGGCTCGGGGAGACAGGTTGGATGTCAGCCAGTCCTGCCCAGACCAAACTATAAAGACCGTGGCCGCATACCACTGAATTCACGTCCATTAGTCATTTGTCCCACTGACAGAACAGTGTATTCCAGACACCCGAGAGTGTGTCTGGAATAGAGACGGGGAACAGACGATGCGAAGACGGAGGAACGGACTGGAACACGGGACCGACGGGAGGGAACAGGCGGCGCGCGTGGCCCCACGACAAGTGGCACAAC